TAGCTCTCTGTCTGAGGAGCAGGACGGTGTATCTTTTTATTTATTTATTTGTGTTTTGCCGACGTCGTCTGTCTAAGTCGCATCCAGTGTTTTAGAATTGCAGTTCCTCGTCTGATTCTCACGCTGAAGCAGCCGTGAGAACAGCCCGTCCTGTGATCCACGACAGTTCCTCCCACCGTCCCTCAGACGTCTCTCCCAGACGTGATCACGGGGGAGACGTCTTTCAAGCCTTTGTCCGGACTGTGCTCCAGGTCACTACGGAAGCTTCAGAGCCCAGGTAGGGAGGACAGTCTCGTCCCAGCAGCGCAGAGATGAGCGTTTGGAAAGGCAGAGGCGGAGCTAAGCGTCGGGACGGATAACGACACCAGTACTGAGTGTGAGCGTGGACGAGATGCCTTGTCGGCGTTTAGTGAGACCCGCGAGCTCCAGACAGAGGCGTCCTGGATACGGAGCTAAGCTTTTCTACTTAAACACGCACTCAGCACGCTAAGTGCTCAGCACTTGACCCACGCGCTGCCGTGGCCGCCCCAGCCTGGCCCCTGTGCCCTCAAACACAGCAGCAGCTTGTCACTTAGCAGCAGACGGTGAGAGGCACCACACAGGTTTAATGGTGCCACGTCTGTCCCTCCGCCCGTCTCCCCTGGACTCACCGAGCCTCGGTCCTTGGTCCTCGCCCCGCTCCTGTCCCGTGGCTGTGCTGGGGTCGGGGTTCCGGAAGACTCTGCTGGACGCTCCCGTGGGCTTGTAGACGCAGACTTGTAAAGCTAGCGACAGTCACTTCAGAAACTGATATGCCTCCCCACGGCTGTCAGCTCTCACCCCGCTGGCCGCTTGCTCTGTCCCCTGTCGAGCCTGTTCATGTACGTGACTCCCCGAGGCGGCACTCGGGCCGTCCCCTGCGGGTCCCGGACGCCCCTCGTGGGCCCTGGTGGGCGCCCGCTCACCGCGGTGCTGGCGCTCGGTCTGCCGCTGGTCTCACACAGCTCCTGCGGGAGCCGGCGCGGCCCATTTGGGGGCTGGGCACAGCCAAGTGCTGCCAATTAAAACGGGGACTGCCATGCCCGACGCAATGTGGACCCGCGGGCCCAGCTTCCACGCTGGCCCAGGCACAAAGCCGAGCAGATCGGGGGCCGAGGAGCAGCACTCCAGTGGGTGTGCACGGCAGAAGCACAGCACGGAGCTCCCGCGGTGCCCGCGGCCCGGAGCAGCCACGGTCTCGTCCGGTGTCACCCCCACCCTCGGCGTCCGTGGAGTTAATGCTCTCTCTCCTTCCGCAGCGCTGACCAGGCCCTCGACAGATTTGCAATGAAGAAGTATTACGATGACAAAGTGTCGGCTTTAATGCAGCCTTCCCAGAGACGGTACGTGTGTCCCCAGAGACGGTACGTGTGTCCCAGAGACGGTACGTGTGTCCCCAGAGATGGTACGTGTGTCCCCAGAGACGGTACGTGTGTCCCCAGAGATGGCGCGTAGGTCCCCAGGCCACAGCGGAAAGACACGTGAGGCTTTACACTTAAACATGGACGGAGAGAAGAGGCACCTGACCAGCCGAGTTCAGGGGGTGCACTGACGAGCCTCCTGCGTGTGGGTGGCAAGGGAGTCCCTTGTGGCAGCCGCGGGCACAGTACAGCCAGGCCCTGCCACGAGCACCAGGAGGAGCATGAGCTGGGTGACCTCTGGGAGAGAGATGCCGCTTCGCGGGAGGTGGCTGTGGCGCCTCCCAGGGCGGTGGCAGCGATGACACGGAGGTGGGCTCTGGGCTTGGTGGACGCTGGCCTCAGGCTGCCCCTGGCCGAGAGCCGTCGGGCCCTCCACGCTCGCGTGACACAGAAGCCGGTCCGTGCACTCGCTGGGCTGCAGCGTCCAGGGCGTAAAGGGCCACATTGCCTGGAGTGGCCAGTGGCGACCATCCGAGCACACAGCCAGGCACCCACGGGGCACACACGCTGGGCTGGGCCACCGACAGGCCAGACGGGGGGACTGTCAGAGGTGGTGACAGCTCTCGGGCCCTCCACGCTCGCGTGACACAGAAGCCGGTCTGTGCACTCGCTGGGCTGCAGCGTCCGGGGCGTAAAGGGCCACATTGCCTGGAGTGGCCAGTGGCGACCACCCGAGCACACAGCCAGGCACCCACGGGGCACACACGCTGGGCTGGGCCACCGACAGGCCAGACGGGGGGACTGCCAGAGGGGGTGACAGCTCGGGGTGACAGCTTGGGGCTCCAGCATCCATGGCTCAAAACCACGGGGCCGAGGACCAAGATGCCTGCTGTGCGTGTCCTTCAGGTGACAGACTTGGACGGGTCACCTGATGGCCACACACAGAGTAAAGGGGAGGCGTGTGGAGCCTCCTGGTGGCCAGGCCCAGGCCAAGGGTGGCCACCTGGTGTCCCGGCTTCCGCGAGGCCTGGGCGGCTGTGGGGAGGGCAGAGAAGCTGCCACTGGGCCGGCGGGGACGTTGTGAGAGGGGCCAGAGCCTAAGCGAGTGTCCTTGCTCACCCTTCCGGAGACAGTGGACTGACACAGGGTTTGAACCTCGCCTGTGTTCGTCAGCGGCTGGAAGTCGGGGACCAGTGTGAACCGCAGGCCAAGATGCTGGGGTCTGGTCCTGGTGGATGGTGCCTGTCCGTGGGAGGGGACAGGGCAGTGGCTGGAGCGAGGGCCGGGGCAGCCCTCCCTGCCTGCGCTCGGCTCTATGGGGTGGGGCTGGCCTTGGAGGCACCGGGCATCGGCCTGTGCTTTGAGTCAGGCTCCTGGTATGGAGGACGGGGCAGCCTGGCACGTCGTGGCAGGCAGCTGTCCTCATCACGTGGCCACCTTGCACCACGGACGGCCGGTCCCCCTGGGCACAGGGGACACCTGGGCACGCGAGGCTGCACATGCGTGGTTTCAGATGCGGTCAGGCCTTCCCCGCACACGGCAGACGTGTCGGCCGGCTCAGTGCAGTATCGAGGTTCCCCGTGGGGAGACCCCAGGGCAGGGCGCTCAGGCGTGGGCCACAGACCTGGGCATGGGGACCCCAGGAGGAGCTGCCCTCATCTTCCTCCTGGCCCCGGCTGGGCTCGGGGAGCGGTGGGGACGCGGCCTGGGGGTGCTGAGCTGTCCATGCTCTGCAGATATGTCCAGTTCCTCAGCGGGCTGCTGTCGGGGACAGTGAAAATGAACGCCTCGCCCCTGTTCCTGCATTTCGTCATCCTGCACGGCACCCTCAACTTCGACTCGGGCGGAGGTGAGTGTCCCACGTGGCGGGGGCTCGAGTGCTGGGTCCTGCCCTGCACCGCTCAGGCCAGCTGCGTGTGGTGGGCAAGGACGGGGCCAGGGAGGGGGCAGGGCCTTTCCCCAGGTCCCCAGCCCCCCGCACCGTGCTGCCGCCCATGCGTCCCCGTGCTGTCCCCTGACCTCGTGGCGCCTTCGTCCCCGTCTGCCCCTCCGTCCCTCCCGCCACGCGGCCCCTGTGTCCTCACGGCCGGTCCTGCCTCTCTTTCAGCGTGCCGGCCCTTCCTGAAGCTCTACCAGGCCATGCGGCCCGTGTTCACGTCGGGGGTCTAGTAAGTGCGGCCACCCCCTGGGGCCGGGCCGGGGCTCCCGCTGGCGCGGATGAGGGCGCAGCCATGTGCCCCGGGGCCGGTGGCCCGCAGGTGCCAGGTGTTCCTCATCCTGCCCCTGTGCTGCGGTCACACCGTCTGGCTCCACAGAGGGGCGTGGGCGCGGGGCCTGGGGAACGGGCTCGGGCGTGCTCCGTCAGGAAGGAGGCTTGCGGGGCCTGTGACGGGGTTGGTCACAGGACCTCTCCCCCCTCACGTTTCAGGCTAAGGGCCGAGACACATCCGCGGGCTCCGTACGCATTTCTGG